GTGAAAATGTTATCAAATCTACCTTTATATATTATCAAACTCCTTAAGTCACTTCGAATACTGAAATTGTTGTTTTCATGGTGATGCTAATTTTGATTGTCTTTTCCCCCCTCATAGCCTTACCTTCAATCTTTCATTTTCCTTTTCATTCTACGGTGTCTGGAAACGAACTTTAGGAAGAAACTGATGAGAAAGGATCCTATATTCAGGTTGAGAGATTCATGTTTTATTTTAATATTCCTTGTTAAAGACATTTTAATAGGCTTAACTTAATTGAGTAAAAAGTACTGTACAGGATTGTTTTTAAGGGACTGTGTAGTATACACCGTTATAATTCTTGGTATGTTAATGTGCTTATAATCTAGCAGGAGACGCTACACTAGCACACATAAGACACTGAAAAAAATAAGGCAGACCATAATTTTGCTAACATTCTAGAAGAAAGTCATATACAAGTGGTAGCACTTAAAAATAATGGCTAAATATAGACAAGCAATTGGGTAAATGTAGCCAATCTAGGAAGGAAGAGGAGTCTGAGCAAAAGGACACAAATTGGAATAAATGCCACCACCCTATCGGTTCACGAAGGCTGCTGGAATGAACGTGAAACCTTGTGCTGGAGGTTAATAGGAAATTAAAATTAAGCTAGATACTGGAGTCAGTGTCTTGGAATAGGGAACCATAGGGAAGGTTTTTACAAATGATGCAATCAGAAACAGACCGGTGTGTTTTGAAAACCTTGCCTAACTCAAAAAGCATGAATCAAGCTCAAGTCTAAAGTAGGCGGTAGAGCAGGAGAGTGACAAGATGACAATCATGGTTTAGGAAATCTACTGACAGCAGCAATTTGGGATGGGATGAGGGAAGGAGACAGGAATCAGCAGTAATCAGTGGGGATGAGGAAGGAAAGGGTTAGATTGGGAGTAGCCAGGAAATAGTGATCCTGTCACACGTACCCAAGACATGAAAGTGCTCAGAAACTGGTGATTGCATATCTTGGGATCTCAGGGACACATCTCTGATTCCAAATGTTTTGATCCATTCTTCTCACATGAAAGTGCTCAGAAACTGGTGATTGCATATCTTAGAATCTCTGGGACACATCTCTGATTCCAAATGATCCATTCTTCTCACTAAGCCTTCAGAATTCCAAAATATCTGTGTCAAAATTACAGTCTCTGGATTCCCTTATCAACCCTGTCCAAGTGTGAGTACTGTTTTGTTATTTATAAAAGAAGTCACAGCCAACAAGGAGAATGAAACTTAGACTGAACGCAAGGATGATGTAAAAGCGGTGTCATTTGAATCACTGCTGGAAAGTAGGCTGTCTGCAAGGCAGAGGGCACAGAGCAGAAGCATGGAGATCGTGGGGTGCTCACCGTTACTCAGTCTATGCAAATAATTGATACAGTTTGCACAAAGTTCATTATTTCTGCTACAAGTTGTTCAACTGGAAACCTGCTCTGATTTTAGAATTTCACCAAGAAGCAGTAAGTTTTTTCCAAACCCAGAGGACCCGGAAGGGGAGGATGAAGACGTTCAGATGGAAAGAATGAGAACAGCGAATGCTGTGACGATTCCGGACTCTGATGAGGTGGAACTACTAGCAATAGTCTTCATCATATACTACTGTCTGTCAGATAAAGTGGGCAACTAGCTAATCTGAATTTGAGGGTTGGGGGGAACACACACATATACGCTCTGGGGTTCTTTCATCCTTGCCCATAGAGCTCATTACTTGATTTCAGTAAATATGCAAAGCCAGCAGAGATCCAAGAACACACACAAGTTACTGTTTCAGTCATAGTTTTGGTGGGTTAGGTTAACTATTACAAAACCTAAAGAAGATTTGTGAGCAAAGCAATTCAGAGGAGAGTGTTCACCTGAGGTGTATGTGTGTATGTGTGCACGTGTGTGTGTGTGTGTGTGTGTGTGTGTGCACCTATGAGTGTATGTCTTTTAATAGTCTTATTGGTTTGATGAAAGCCTCTGTTCCTATTTTTTGAGGAAGGGAAAGCATGAGTCAGATGATACAGTGCAAATGTCCTTTTGCAGATTGGGAGAATTTGCTTTATAATGGCAGTTTTGAGGAGAATTGGTTGGATTCACTATTTTACATTGGGAAAGATTTGGCCAGAAGGAGGGAGTATGGGGCACTCACTCATCTCAAGGTGATAATGTTGTTATTCCCTCGTCTTTGCAGAAACCAGTCATCATCGCCAGTTGTCTCCGGAAGGAATATGTAGGCAAAAAGAAAAACTGCTTTGCCAAGAAGAAGAAGAAGAAAGTTGCCACAAGAAATGTCTCTTTCTGTGTTAAAAAAGGTAGGAAGCAGAAGTTCTGCTGGCAGGGTGATCTTGACCTCTGAAGATGAGGTCTTTTGAAGGGTATAATGCCATCCAAATCTGGGACGATCCACTGATAAACATGAAAGGCAGTCACTCATCAGCAGTAGAACTCTGACCCAGTCTGCTTCACAGCCTGTTACAACCATTTGTTCTTTGATTAGAAGACATTCATGTCTGCTCTGCTAAAACAAACAAAAGAGAACAGCCACCAAAAAGGAGGCAGTGTTTATGTTAAGAAGGATGGGATAGCTTTCTAAGTAGGAATGTTAATTTCACAGCAGGGAATACTGCACAAAAGGGAACTCACCGGGTTGCAGTAGTTCGTTCTTCATACCTAACAAATGGCACATTTCAGGAAAGTGTCGGTGAAATGCAACAGGCCCTGGAATCAAAATTTGTTTCACTTCCATCTCAGCCTCTTATTGGCTGCATGACCTTGGGCAAGCTATTGATCCTCTTTATACCTTAGTTTCCTTGCCCATAAAATGAAGGGACATAAGAACACTCTAGTTTGTGTGTGGCTGAGGAATAAGTGAAATAATGTACACAGCACATTTGACATAAAGCTCGACACATAGTGAGAGCCCTCAAATCGTATGTGCTTTTATTTTTATAACTAGAGGCCCAGTGCACAAAATTTGTGCACAGGTGGGGTACCTAGGCCTGGCTGGCGACCAGGGCCGATTGGGGCCAGGCCGATAGGGGCCAGGCTGATCAGGGTCCAAAGGCCCCAGTGGGGTCGGGAGAGGAGGCAATGGTCACCAAGCTGGGCAAGCTAGGAATGGGCACCAGATGCCAACTCCAGTGTCGTCACCTGTCTGCTGCCACCCACCCCCAGTTCCCCATCGCAGCCTGGGGCATGGCCCTGATTAAGCAATCAGGGCCTGCAGGCCAGGGGGAGGGACCACAGGATGTTGGCCAGTCAGAAAAGGTTGTCTGTGGGAGTGCACTGACCATTGGGGGCAGCTTCTGCATTGAGCATCTGCCCCCTGGTGGTCAGTTCACGTCATAGTGACTGGTCAACCAGTTATTCCGGTTGTTTGGTTGTAACAGTCACATAGGCTTTTATATATATAGATTGTTTGCGGTTATAATTCTGAGCACACTTTTTTTTTTTCAGGTGAAGTTATAGGTCTGTTAGGACACAATGGAGCTGGTAAAAGTACAACTATTAAGATGATAACTGGAGACTCAACACCAACCGCAGGAGAGGTCAGTGACACACACAGAGGTGTGCTCATGAACGCTGCCTCGATGAGGCAGTTAAGATGCATATTGATGACAATCTTTAAAAGCACAGGCCATCTTTTCTATTAATCAATGTGATTCATGCATTGAATGAAGAGGATAAATTAATACAAATTTCTCTCCTTAATTCCAAAAAGTAGTTATGTGTTAAAAAGACCTGCATGTTATCTATAGTATGCCTTTTATTGAATGAAAAAGTAGAGACGTTAAAAGGAGAGATTTTGGAAAGGAAAGCTAAACATTTGCTTTACTGGAGGTCAGAGATCTTTGTTTTGTGGATTGATGTATCCTGAGAACTTGTTTAATTGAATTGCCAAGACCCAGTATTTACTCAGAAAACAGAGATCATATGTTAGAGGGAAATTGAGTAACTGTCTAAATTCCATAGCAAATACTAGAATAGTGTATGAATGGCACTTGGCTGTACATCCAGCCTAAGTTGGGTGAAATGACTGACAAAGGTCCAAAGTCAAACAATAGACAAACGAATAACCAAACTTGAATTCAACCATGGTGATGGGCTTAGTAATAAAGCCTAAACCATTCTAGGAGGGATAGAACAATGTGGAATATCTGCCTTTTGATGTATAGAGTTTCTGTCATCTTTTCCCCAGAGCTAAGAGGTTACTTATGGACTTGTGTACTCTTGGCAGCCGTGTGTGTAAGAGGAGGACATCATTGCAGTACGCGCGCGCACACACACACACACACACACACACACACACACACACCCATAATTTTGGCCGGAAGGTAAGAATGAACTTTTTGTGTAGGTGATTTTGAAAAGGAACAGTGGAGGAGACGCCCTCAAGTTCCTAGGGTACTGCCCTCAGGAGAATGCGCTGTGGCCCAACTTGACAGTGAGGGAGCACCTGGACGTGTTCGCAGCTGTGAAAGGGCTGAGGAAAGTGGACGCCGCAGTCGCCATCACACGGTACCTGTGGGAAGACACACCTGTCCTCTACTAGAGCGATGTCATAGATTCACAAAAAACTAAGAAAGGACCATTCTAACTGATGAGTCCATACTTACTGGTATGGGAGAAGACTTGTTCACCTAGACCCCAATTCAGAGTTACGTTCTCTCATTTTAAGCCTGGAGAGGAAAAGTCTATTGATTATAATTAATACAAAAATAAGTCATTAAAAATGTGAGTTTAAAAACCATGAAAGGGCCCTGGCTGGTGTGGCTCAATTGGTTGGAGCATATTCTCATTCACTGAATGGTTGTGGCTCCATTCCCATCAGGGCACATATCCAGGTTGGGGGTTCAATCCCCTGCATGCAGGAGGCAACCTATATATGTTTCTATCTCTCTCCCTCCCTCCCTCTCCTTTTTCTCTAAAATCAATAAAGTAAAATAAAAACAATGGAAGGTTCATAAATTATCCAAGATAATTTGAATTTTTTTTAATTTTATTTTTCCATTACAGTTGACCTTCAATATTACTTTATACTCGAGGCCAAATGCACGAAATTGGTGCAAGAGTAGGCCTGCCTTCCCCCGGCTACCTGCACTGGCTTTCCTTGCAGCCCCGGCTTCATCCAGAAGGTCATCCAGTCTAATTAGCATAATATGCTTTTATTATTATAGACTAGAGATCTGGTGCATGAAATTTGTGCATTCAGGGGGGTCACTCAGCCAGGCCTTGGGAGCCTTATATAATAAAAGGGAGCCATTGGGCCCTAACCAGTTTGGCTCAGGAAATAAGAGCATAGGCCTGCGGACTGACAGATCCCAGGTTCAATTCCGGTCAAGGGCATGTACCTTGGTTACGGGCACATCCCCAGTAGGAGATGTGCAGGAGCCAGCTAATCAATGTTTCTCTCTCATCGATGTTTCTAAATCTCTATCCCTCTCCCTTCTTCTCTGTAAAAAATCAATAAAATATATTTTTTTCAAAAAAAGAATTGCAATATATGAGTGAAGATTACTGCATGTAAACTACAGGT